ACACTGATCTGATTGTCCTCCAGGTGCCTGGGAAAAGAGACAGAACCCCACACTCATCAAGAGGAGTGAGCTCAAGCACGTATACTGGTTCCACGTTTCCCTCCTGGGCACATTTTCTAAAATGCGGATGAAGGCATCGAAGGAGACACCCACTGCCCCAACAGGAGCTGCCCACCTCCACCCTGCTCCATGCAAATCTGCCTCCGTCCAGGGCCTTTGATCCCTGAGCCGCCTTTGGATAGGAACTTAAAGTCACGACCCCGTGATTACGGGTTAATCAATATTCTCATCTGGTTGAAATCAGAGCAATATCCACTGGGCTCAAGCACAAGGCTAAGCCCAGGGCTAAGGGCAGCAGATTGGGGTAGCGGTATTCTGACACTTGGTGCCAGTGGCTTTTACAAGGCTCCCAGATGTATTATCAGCAGCAGTGCTTAACTGTTCTGGACTTGTTACTGGGAGGTTGTAGGTTCAAAATCCCAGGTGAGATACCGCTGTTGTACCCTTGAGCGAGGTACTTCGCCCACATTGTTCCAGTTAAACACCCTGTTGTGTAAATGGGCGCAGATGCTAGTCACTTTGGATAAAAGCATCAGCCAGTTGAATTAATCAGTGGTAGAGGTTCATGCATTGTGTGTCCAGGCTGAATTAGAATGTAGGTAGTCTTTGATGAAAGGTTTCCAAGGTCGGTCTCTAGATTCCCTAGGGAGCTGAATTTCCATCAGACCACTGATGTGACAGTGTCTCAAAGCTCATTGCCTGCAGTAACCAAGTTCATCCCATCCAAAGACTTACAGATGTTCCCAGGCATCTAAATACAGTACCTTAACATCAGAGCCTTCAACGGCACTTCCAGTTTGATCACCAAGGATTTAAATTAAACTAAAAACGTATGTATGTATATGTATTTGTTGTTGATTCTGCAGTGAAATGAATGCCATGTCGTTCTGACATGTGTGCAAACCATCTGGTTATGCAGCAGTCTCTGTACACACATTCTGACAAGGGGAGCCGAAGGCTGAAAAGCTCAGGAAAAAGAAAATATCCAGCTCTTCTCATGTGGAATTCTAGCTTGGCAGCTACATTTCTATTCCAAATGTTTTCTTTAAATGTGTTTATATATGTAACTGTGCTGCAGTCATTAATCCATGTTCTTTGCCATACTATTTTGTCATGAACGGATGACAAAATTGGCTTTGCGCAGACAGAATTTGTAGACAATCTGTGAACTTCGTGGATTCCAGTGGAGCCACAATGCACAGTGTGAAGCCCAAGAAAATGACAATACATTGGCTTCGGCTCCAACCAAAGAGCAACCAAAATGTTAGTTCAAAATAATTGAGTATTTTGTAAACAAAGCCAGCACACTATATTTCACATGGTATAAATATGGATCAAAAATAGCCTTATATTCATATGACTGGGTGGAAACATATTATTATAGTAATTACACTAATTTTTTTTCAAAATGCACACCAGATGGAGAGTGCCTGTATCTGTAATTTTCCTGTGCAATGCAGTACTCTCACCAGCAACTGCTAGTTGATAAATTGTCTATTGTAACATAGTGAAGACTCTGCTGTGCCGTGGAGAGACTCAGATCGGCTGTAGACATGTTTAGAGAGCCACAGGACTCTGGAATCTTATGGAAACAAGAATTATCATCAGTTATCTCACAGAGGAGTGTCCTCGTCAATGCAGGACTGTATGCAACTTTGAAAGTCATAAAGCATGTACTGTATAGGAAGAATTTGTTTTCGACCCCAGTCAAGTAAAAAAAACCTAGAAATAATCAATAGGCAATAAAAATGGTAGTAGATAATGGAAAATATACTATGAAGAGCTCTGGTGTTTAACACTGAAGAAACCAGGGTTGTGCAAAACTTAGACAGTCCAGATAATTTCAGTCAAAGTGAAAAAACAATTGATCTAAGAGTCATTGACTCATTCTTGAGAAACACTGTTAACATGGACAAGGGCTGAATATTTAAATACCTAAATAAACACTGAGCTTTAAATATTGGACTTCACTAAACTGCGGTCTCTAGTGAAGTAGCTGAGACCTTTGCCCTCAAAAAGAGCTCATCTATACATAACGCCTCAGGTCATCGAGAACCACCACAAAAATAAACTATGTCCACAAGTCCACAAGGTTGCCTTCTCATAATCTACAATACATTTACAAATGAGAGGACGACATTTGGCCCGTCTAAGCCCGTTCAGTAGTGACTTCATGATTTGAGGATCTCATCCAGCTTTTTCTTGAAAGAAGCCAGAGTTTTGGCTTCGACAACATGGGCTGCGTAAAGTTTTTCTGACTCCCACAACCTTTTGGGTAAACAAGTGCCTTCGGTTCTCTGTTTAAAAGGCACTTCCACCTAATCCCCACTAGTGTGCTCTGGTTCTGAAGAAGGATCCTGGGATTTTGCATAAATGTACTTGCTGCCTGTATTTGTGTCCAGTATGCATTTCCTTCTGTTTTATACAGTTCTATAGATATCTCAAAAGATTCCTTTTTGCACAAGCAAATGACCGTGACAGCGACATTTACCACTTTTAGGTGGTGCTCATACAAAACTGCTGTTACGCCTCATTCGGCTTTCACTCCAGCGACTCGTCTCAGATGGAAGAAATCAGCTTTCAGATGTCTCACCTGTCTCTCCCACAGAGATAAGACGGTTGACCCAGCGTTTCTCTGGGAATTTCTATTTTGATCCACCTTGACCATACAGATGGTTTCGAGTAGGGAAATGTCACTGGTGTTAATCAAAACCCACGTAAAATAAGCAGTAAAACTATGCAGAGAGTGCTATGTTACCACTTAAACTGAACGTTGTATTGATGTACTGCATTTTCTTCTCATTGATACAGCTCACTTAAAAAGGCACAACTAGGATAAACAGATTCTTGTCTAGAGTATAATTATTCATGTTCTCATCTTGTTTTTGCCTTTTCTTCCTGCCAAAAAGCTTGTTTTCAGTTTAAGTGGAAAATAACAATAAAAAGTTAGAATGTTTGAAATGGATGCGCTTTGAGCCCGTTATGCATTTTGGCAATATCTCGTGGCAATAACATTAAACAAATGGGGTCAGACTAATAAAACATTTTTTTTAATTCCCCCTAACGTAGAATAAAAAAGTTGTTCATTATTAAAAATAATGCTTATTGCTTGTGCAACGTCTGGTTGAAACATTAAGGGCCAGCTGCAGATTTAAGCCCTGCATTTCTTCACATTCCTGAAGACAAATCCTGGGTATAAACCGGGTTTAGCAACACTGAGAAACTAGATTCACTGATTTTTTCTTAAACTGGGTCAATCGAAAAAAAAAGCAGATTCGAACAGTCCGAAATGTTTAATGTAGAATGTAGATCAAAGAGAATCAGCCAATTAAATTGTTAAGAAACAAAATTAGATGTGAAAATGTATTCTGCAGCAGTGTAATTCAGAGAAGCATTCCCTGAGACACTGGGTATTGAAATCATCTCCCCCCCTTTGAAAAGCATAGTTAATCTTTTGACTTGAAGATGGGCATCTTGAACCATTTCCTCCTTATCTTTCTTAAGCACAGAACAATGCATTTTCATTCAACTGAGTGCGCATAGGAAAGCATGTTGTAAGTCAAAACGTAACTTGATCTACTTTATTCACTGATTGATACATCTGTCACTTGTTTTCTCCTTACTGAGGTTTGCTTTCTAAACATAGTGTGCCTTTCATGACATACTATCCTGTACAGCAATTAGCTTTCCACTCTGCTAGATTCAAGCTTCCTCTCGAGGATGGTTTTAAGTGCTGAACTCTCCACAGTACAAGAAAACTCAAAAAGTGGACTAAAGATGCACTTTCAGCAGAAACTTTGTTCTCTACCCACAGACTCTATTATCGTGCTTTACCTTAGAGCTATTTACTAGACTGATGGATTAGGTATGGCTTGTGTCACTGTCCAGCTGTGAACAGGATTCCCCAAGCAGTGGTGCACAGTTGTCTGGACAGCTCTGTTGCTGGGGCTGGGAGGGCTGGCCTTGCCCAGATTACCCTTGGCATTTGCCAGGGCCTGTGAGCCTGCAGCAAGACCCTCACCACGCCTCTGGGGGATACGAACTCTCCTGCGCAGCACATGTGACCTCACGGGGCACAAAACAGCACGTGGCCGGTGCATGTGTTGCTGGGAGAGACTGCAATGGCCTCAACATTCCCATGCTGGTACCATTCTTAGAGAGGTGAGATGATCTAACTAACATCTGGGGATTTCAAATGGATTTATTTTCCCATAGACACACTACTTTGGTTTGGTTGTACAGGCAGGGAAGCCGCATGTTTCTGTCCACTGTTTGTTTGACTTTTACCCTTGAAGTCCAATTGACCTTCACGAACAGGCCAAGTCTCCTGTGAACCACAGAACTGCTCCCCTTTCTGCAACTAGCAATCTGCAGTATTCTAATGATTCCTTTTCAAATAGGGTGGGGTACTGCAGTTCTATCCCATTAAATGTCCAATTTTAAAAGCAAAGACAAATGCTTACAAAACTCGTAGGTTCTTAATCCCAGTGAAGTCCACTTTGGTGATTCGAGTGATGTTATTCCTGTCCAGGTCTCTAGAAAACAAAGAGAGGGGAGTGGGTTAATAATGCATAGACAGATCATGTACTTGTTCAGAGTACCTAAACTGATAAAAGCCTCTGGACACATACTGGCTGAACTTCACACTCCTGTAGGGCAGTTTTGATCTTAATAACTGCAAGGTTGCCAAGATATTCTGCAGGAGTGCTGGTGAGGACTACCTTCACCGCTCTGAGCACTGCTTCAGAACTAGATCACCTGAGCAAATCACATTTACATCATGACTCTTGCCAAAAGGAGCTGTTTTTGGAAAGCTTTCTCTCCTTTGGTGCATAATTTACTCCACATTGTCCTGTAGCAAAAGCAAACTGCTGATGTTATGTAGAAATATTATATTAAGACACGGATTGAGCATGAGAAAGGTCAATCACACTGACATATTTTGGCTCTGCAAGCTTAATTTAATTGCATGCGACAGAATCATTCTGAATTTGTTTCTTTATGTCTCCCGGTCAAAGGCTTATCTTATGTTCTGAAGACTGGTCATTTTATCTGTTTTGTAAGTATTAAACCACACATCCACACACAGGAGGAAAAAACAAACCGTGTAGATATGCTCAAAAACATCTCCATATTGCATGAGGTCGGGCTGCGTTTCTGTGTAGTTCTGGCCTGGTGGAGCCGCGTCACTTGTAAAGAATTAACAAAGAAAAAAGAAAACTCCAGCGAAGCCAAACTTCGTCTCCTGATGGAGCACGGCTCAGTGTGTGTTTCTCATAATGTACATAAACATTTATAATTCTGATTTAAAGGGGTATTGGATTTCAAAAGGCTTCCACAACACTGTACTAGGCACACATCAAGAGCTGTAATTGGAGCCACATTGTGGGCTGTCAGGGGACCGGCGCTGGAGAGACACTGCTGCAGTTCTCTCAGGACACTGAGAGCAGATTTCTGCACAGACATGCACTAGCAGACACTCAGCAGACACAGAACTGCAGCTAGAGTTAACAGCAAGTGGTGTCAAAAGAGTGGAAAATGGAGAAATGATATAGAAGTATACAGAAAGGGCTCAAAACATAGACTTGTGTTGCTTAGCAGCTTAGCAGTGTGAGGTCTTCCTGATTTTTCAAGCTATATGTACGAGCTAACATACCAGAGCCACTGTAAACCAGGTATGGTCATTTTCAAGTTCGTTGCCTTATTCTCCATAGGACCTAACTATACTGTAGATAAATTAATGCTTCTTTACTTTTCTGTTTCATCAGTACAATTTGCATGAAAGCTAAAATCTCATGGCCCTTGAAATCTTAATCTCTCTCTTGTTACATTATATACAAACGTCGGGTGAAAATGTTATGTATCCCCAGTGCTCTCCCAACACAAGCCAGCCTTCACCGTGAAATTGCAAGAAAATAATGCTGCTGTCGTAATCTGACAAGGCAAACAATAACACCAGAGGACCAGAAAATAAAGAGCTATAAGTTACATAAGTTAAAAACATAACTACTGAAAATAAAGATTATTAAATAGTCTTGATGCAACAGCCCTGAAACAGTCCTCTATATATTATTGTTGCTTCAATGCAACTGATGCCTTTATGCAAAGCAATTCACTAGAGTTGCAATATTCACTGTTCAGTGTTTCCTAGGCGTTACACATCCGTATTTAATTTATAGACACAAAGAGACCAGTGCACAGAGCCATCATCTGCAAAGTTTTATCAACGTGTTACTTTAGTGGAAAAAAAGCTCCAGCTATATTCATCTTGGTTTTAATTCGGCAGAGACGCATCATTAACGAGCTCAAAGGAGCTAAAAAAACAATTTATTCCACTGCTAAAGCACGGACAGGTACTTTTCTTGGCTTTTGTTCCGTTTTCATGTCCGTGCGATTTTTTCCCCATCATCACATCAGAATGCCGGACTGCGCTGTGACCCGGACTGCGGTGCCGAGGAAGAAAGACAGCCACCTCCCAAAGACAGTCACCTGAAGAAGACTCCACAGCCGAAACGTTGCGTTTCTTTACTTTTTTTTTTGAAGCATGGAATAAACCTTTACTTGTTCCTTTCCAGCCTATGCATGGTGACGCAGCTGCCTACTGGAACTACTTCACCCCCCAGCTCTCACTACAGCTTATAGACAGTAGATAACAGATCTGCCCGGTACCCAGTGCACTCAGCTGGAAACGTGAGGGATAGTCAGCTAAGCTCTTTTTGCAGATTTTTGAATGCGCAGTTATTTATTTTACGAATCAGCCAATGCTGGTCATCTCTGCTCACAGCTATGCCCCCCCTGCAGAGGACACATGAAGACGACGCACATGTCCTGTACACCTCACACTGTTGGGACCCTCACCTGTCCACGCAGCAGAGAGGTGTCAGATGCACAACAGTTTCATCTCTCCAGCAGCAATGCGATATTCCAGCTGCACGTTAAACTGCAGGGGTCAATGGGGTGTTGCATGCAGGCAGCTCTGGGCTTTGCTCTACAGTACCTCCAGGACTGGTATACAGTATCTTGGGGCCTGTTGTACAGTACCATGCAGTTCTTTCAGCCTCTCATTGAAGGACATCACTGTAAGCCCAAGAATATACCCATTTCCCCCTTTCTAGATTGAACTCTGAGCAGCAGTATCTTTTTGTAGCATTGAACCTGAACATAACATTCTAGATTAGGCCTTAGTGCATCATTGTATATTATTAATGTTGGATTTCTTTATTTCAATTTTACACCTGTGTGTCGGGATGTTTGGTTTGCTTGCCCTCCTAGTCTAGAAGATGTGATAATGTGTCATTTGCAAGTCTCTTCTTCAAGGTCAGTATTTCCCATCTTATATCTTAGTTCAGATCACCAATATAAATCAGGGAGAGCAGTGGTCCTAGTACAGATCCTTGTGGTACTCCATTCCTTATTTTTCACTCTGTATTTGATCCCACTGTTTTCTATCTCTTGACCAGATGCGGTTAAATGGCAAAGAGAACTTTGTTAGAAAAATCATCATTTTTCCACGTATTAGGTTAAACATTTCAATGTGTTTCATTCTCTTAAGCCTGTGCAGAACACTAAGACATGAGTGGGGAAACTCCCCAGGTGAAACAATAACAGAAATGCAGAACCTCCATTCCCAGCTGTAAGTTATCTTCAAGAACGTAATGATTTGGCAATGTAACAAGCATACTGTCATGTGAAATACTGTAACAAATTATAAACAGCATTGTGACAGGAACTAGCAAACAGATGTTATGTTTGCCCAGGTTTGTGTTCATGGTTCCATTGCACAAGTGATCTGTTGTTATTAGAGGTGCTCATTGTAATACACACACGCTTTGGACAATCTGCATTAGTGTACGAAGCACTACATGTGGTGGGTTTTAGACCCGCACACTGCTTGGCTGGGTAAGTCTCTGCATGCCAGATCGTATGGTTCATTCTGACATTTACCAGTGCCAAACCACTTCCAGAAAATGGGATTTGATGGGAAGAATATGAGCAGGAACATATACAGTAGGGAATTATGTACAATGAATGTGTTTTTGCGTCTTTTAAAATTCTTTTTGGATTACTTTTCTTACCCCAAATGTCACTTATTGTTTTTTAAAAATAGATATGTTATAAACAATAACCCACTGGGTCTTGTGGTTCTTGTGAAATAAGGCACTTCCTGGGTGGTTAACTTGTGCCTCATCACCTCCCAGTGCAGTGTAGAATTCACGTGGACCATAACGCATTTCATACATGCGACCATGAGCAGTGCTATAGATAAATATGCATATAAACATATAGAAGACCCCCAGAGTGTCTTTTTTTCTTTTGAGGGTTTTGTTTTCTCTCTCCTCAATCCCTAATGGTTCTTTCCTCTGAGACCCACCTTTTTATGATTTACTGCTTAAAATATTTCACAAACCTCGCGGTGGATATTCTTTACAAAGGGTGCTTGATCAAGTAACTACATGGATGAGCAGTTAATACCATGAACAGGAGACTTATTCACCCGGAGGGTGCTGGGAGTATAGAAAAAGCTGTCCAGTCATGGTGTGGAAGCTGATGCCCTGGTTTCTTTCAAGAACTATATGGACAAGATCTTGGGATCAATTAGCTGTTAACTACCAAACAGGCCAAATGAGCTGAATGGCTCCTTTACAGTTTGTAACTCTTCTTAAGTCTGTTAAGTAACAATTGTATTGAATTGGAAAAAATGTAATTGAATTGGTCAGATAACAGACAGTGATCTGACTCAGACTCTAACCCTAACCCCTCAGCAACAGTTCTGTTAGTGGTAGGAACTGATCTAGGACTATTCCAAACATAGCTGAAACTTGGTACACCCTGACTTTTAATCTGACTCCATTAGGAACTCAATATGACCTAAACCAATTTAAAACTGGATGGGAGATGTAGTGAGCATGCGATATAAACATAGGACAGTGCCAAGGTTTAGGAGCAACAAATTCAATAAAGAATGACTAGACATCTGGAAGTTCCCTAATTGGAGAGGATCCTTATTGGACAAAACTGTGGCCAGCTGTACAGCTTTCACAGAAAACAATATATGCTGTGTATTGGCCTGCCATTCTGTTCAATCCTACACATTAGATGAATGTGTAGTCATGGGCATTTTTGTTCCAGATGTCTCACAAAAAAATCCCTTAGAAGATTCCCGATAGTCAGTTTTAACCCTGGGAGATCCCGAGTTTCCTCTTTGCTAGAATATGCCTCCGAAGTGGACCGACGCTTGGGTCTCACTGGGACTACAGACGACACACCGAGCGCAATTCTAACAGGCTGGCTCCTGTCCCAGTGGAGACGATGCCCTGCCCGTTCCCTGAGGGCTCAGCCACCACACTTTGCTTCCTCTCGGGGGAGAGGGTGAAGTGGAAAGCCCTGCAGCAGGTGCCCAGTCCTTTTCCATCTCACTCCTCCGAGACACTCCCGGCTCTCACCGCCACGCCAGCCCACCGACAGTCCAGCCTCCAGACCGCCTGGGGGGCAGGTTTGGAAAGAGAACTCTCTCAGAGACAATAATAGTAGTCGT